GGGGGGGGGGTGCGCTTCAACTCGCCTAGGGCACCAAAATGGCTAGAGCCAGCACTGGTTTTACTTACTGTTGAGTTGTGGTAAATAGCAGTCATCTCACTTTTTTCGACAGGGAATCCCCACTGGAGGGATTCCAGTTCCAGTTTAAATACGTATATGACTTGTAAGTGAGAAACTCCCACTACCCATTATAACTGGGCGGCACCAAAAATAGTTGATGACAATGCAGTCAAATGGAGATTTCACAGTGAATTTTGCTATTTGCTGACTTTTGAACCCTGTTTACCTCTAGTGATGGGATGCCATCAGTTCACAGGTAAAATAATCGGCATGCATTATGGGACAAAAGTTTAAAGTCAATGCTCTCAATGCTCAAATGCTCATTGTACAGAAGCCGAGAGTGGCTGTTTTCTGCATATAATTATTTTTCATGGTTTGCTCAGGATCACAAAAAAAATAAAGTGGAAAACGGCCGCTCTCGGCTTCTGTACAAGGAAGCTCTTAGGAGCTCTTTAGGACCAAGGTGTGAATTGAGTTTAGGTTAGTTTTAGGGTCAACCTGTGAGGTTAATTTTACTGTAGATGGTTAGGGGTAGGATATAAAATTTCCAAAAAAATGAATGGAAGTCAATGGAAAGTCCCCATAAGGACATAGAGCAGTGTTTCCCAAAGTTGGGGTCGGGACCCAAAGTGGGGTCCTGAAACATCAAGGTGGGGTCCTGAAAAGATTTTCTGAATTATATTTTTGCCCTAGTTGTTACAAATGAGTGAGGTTAGTATACTTAAAATGTGAAAATTGTTACTATGCCCATGTTTAGTTGACCTGATACAAATGTTCATCATCCAAAAATATTTGGGGGCACAGGTCTCTGCTACTGTTATTTTGTGGGTCAAAAGCTGAAAAGTTTGGGAACCACTGATATAGAGACATAGAGTGTGTGTGTGTGTGGGGGGGGGGGGGCAATTTTTGAGGGGGGCCCCTGGAGAAACAGTCGTTTATTTATTTATTTTTTTCATTTAATAATCTAAACATGCCCAGGAAGTTGCTCTCATTAAAACTCCACGTTTATTCTTGGCCTGGGGAGTTAAAAGCCGAGACCGAAGGACCCCCCTTCACTCGGGGTCCCATGTCAAAATCTGTCTCTGCCTCTTTAAAAGCAACTGTTTGGAGAAGCAAGACTCTCAGACCTTGAACAAACTGCAGGTTTTCTTTC